TCGTTTTATGTTATGTTTTGATGTGTGTGGTAATGTGTGCGAGGAGCAAATATTCAGGCAAGCCCGCACTCCTTTCTTCCAAGCTCCTCCTTGTCCGATCGACCTGTGAGCACAACGGCGGTGAGCTACCCGGCGGTGTGTGGCCGGAAAACCCCTCCGACGATCAAGTTAGACACACACACAGGGATAGATAGAGAGGAAAGAGTTGAGTGCAAGTGTATATTTCACCAAATGTTCATCTGTCTAGGCATGGGGGGCGTAGACCCGCTTATATACCTTCTGCGCTCCAAATCTACTCACATTCGTCTCTCGACACGTGGTGCTGCTATCCCATCCGTCAGCACAAATCTTGCTGTACATTACCTAACCCAACTGCCAGCCCACTTTGCTAGGAGCTCGGCAATCGGGGTATAGCATCACGGCCACCGACATCCAGGCTGCACTTCACGCCCAAGTGTAGCAATAGTCGAGCTCCGTCCCTATCGTGCTCGACTGCACTCCGGCGAAGTCGAGCTCCGGAAAGGTCACGCCGATCAACCAAAGGCTTTCCTGCCGAGCTTCTGGCACGAGCTTCCCTGCCGAGCCAAAGGTGTATGCCTTCTGCCTGAGCAACGCAAGTTGCACAGTCACCACCAGTGCGAGTAGTTCGGCCACGGGCTGAGCGGCCCCAACTCCGGGCAAGTCCTAAGCTATCTCGGCCCAACACGCCCTTGGGCCTTCAACTTGCTCGGCTTTTATCTCGGCCCACTTCCGGCTCATAAATCTCCCTCTCAATTACCCTTTAATTCCGTCCGCGCAAGCGTGACTGGGATTATTTATCTTGACCGGGGTAACACTTCCTCAGTCTTCTGGTTTTGCAAGAAGTCAACCGAGCTAATTTTCTTGCTCGACTCCATGATTCACTCGGTCGACGCCTCGTCTGGCCTTTCTGTCTTTTCAACTCTGACGTTGCCATTAATGGGGGCACGTGTCAATCTCTTATTGGCCCTCGAGTAGCCAACCCAATCGTCCCCTCAAATTTGAATTTAGGCGGCTTCTTCCCCTCTATAAACATGCCCCTTCTCGCTTCCTTTCATTCCTACTGCCTCTCTTCAAGTCTTCGACGTTTCAGAGCTCAAGCACCCCCAGCAAAACTCCGTCCCTGCCATTCCTTGCATTTGTGCTCGAAGAAATTGGCCCTGCCCTCAACTGGTAAGTTCCTTGAACCTCGTTTTTTGCTATTTCAGTCGGCATTTCACATATTAGGGCACTAAAAACATAGGTTTTAGGGCATTAGGCACCCAAAACAGTCCCTAACCCTTCACTCTCCTTGTTGTTCTTCATTTTTCCTGTTGAACATTGAAGATCTAGAGCAGACCGGGCTCCAGGTCTTCATTCAATCCAAAAAATCATTAAGACCGAGCAAATGACCAGTTTGCCAAAACCTTTAGCAGAAACCAGGGTAGGCAGGGAGCTTGGCCGCTCGACCGGGCTAACATCTGGTCCACTTGAACGGCCGAGCTCCTTGGTACACCTTTAAGACCAAGGTGGTTGGCACTCTTCATGACTGAGCTAAAGTCAAGTTCGTTTTGCGTGACCGCGCTCACACTTACCATTGCCATCCTTTTCCTGCAGAGTCCAAGGGAACCACTTGACCAAATATTGAGGCTCTCAAAGACCGAGCAGCCATCAAGACACCAGTCTGTTCCATTCCACCTTAGCTAAGCTAAACCAGCCGGCTATGAATGGGGCGCTTCCGCTTCCTAGTTGACACCCCGGCTGCCTTGGCCGTATTCTAGGAAGATTACGGTATCTCGGCAGATGTTCACCTAGAGCTCGCCGAGATCGAGACAACCCCTTGGGGTAGATTAGACCAGTGCCCCTTCACCGTTCTTTCCATTGTTGAAGGAGGCCTCCGCTTCCCGGTCAACCCTCTACTGACCGAGTTTCTGCGTCGCACCGGGCTTGCACCCACACAAGTATCAACCAACACCTACTGAATAATCAACGGCATTCACGAGCTAAATAACCGGCTAGGGACCAACTTAGGTTTAGCCGAGATACTGCGATAGTACACACTTGGGCACACGGGCGACGGCCTCGCCTATTACTTAAAAATTCGACCGGGTAAAGAAAAGATAGTGACCGGCACCCCAGACAAGGACTTACACGATGACAACTTTTTCTGGGTGTCTGGCAACTATGAAACGGCCGACGTACCGGGCTGGTTTATCAGCAAGAATATCGGCTCCACATTAAGCCGTGCAACTTTGCTTGGTTAATTGCCTTCGTTCCATATTCTGTAAATAACTAACACTTATCTTCTTTCCTTTGCAGCAATCCAGGCCTTACAAGCCAACTACCACTACCCCAACGAGGAAGCCATTAGGGTCGTGCTCCGTTATCGCAACCAGGATTGCAACGAACTGCTTGGCTACACCCCGACATATCGGTACTCTGCTCCACGCCGGAGTAAGGTCATAGACTTCCTCCGCGCTCCATCACCTCCTCCAGACCCAACACTACCGGACGTGCCACTAATCCGGTTAACCGAGGAAGAAGAGATGGCAAAACGTAACCGTATCAAAAACCTCCTCACCGCAACATCCGCCGAGATACCGAGCGTCGTCACCCGCGCTCCAGCTGCCGGTCAATCAAGGGGCGCTGTGGTGGCGTTGGCGTCTCCAGCCGCCGGTCAAGCCAGCCAAGAAGCCCGCCGGGCTGGGAAAAGGCCTCGCGCAGATCCCTCTGTCGAGTTGGTTGAAGAGCTGACTACTGAGCAACCAACTGTCACCATAGACCCAACGCCGGCATGGCGTCCGCAGCTCAAGCACCGGGGTAAGGAGATCCCGACAACGGCCTCCGTGAAGGGCGACAAAGAACATCTCCTTGCCTTGGGCGCTGTGGTGGCGTTGGCGTCTCCAGCCGCCGGTCAAGCCAGCCAAGAAGCCCGCCGGGCTGGGAAAAGGCCTCGTGCAGATCCCTCTGTCGAGTTGGTTGAAGAGCTGACTACTGAGCAACCAACTGTCACCATAGACCCAACGCCGACATGGCGTCCGCAGCTCAAGCACCGGGGTAAAGAGATCCCGACAATAGCCTCCGTGAAGGGCGACAAAGAACATCTCCTTGCCTTCGACCTCTCCAAGGCCCTTCTCCTGCCGAGCGACGTGGTCGGGAGCGACCATGTCCCAGACACCTGGCTGGTGAAGTCAGTTGTGAAGTCCATGACCAGGGTAAGAGTCTCAAACTTCTACTCAAATTTTCACAGGTGTTTGCACGGCTTCCACTCTGATCCAATTTTCTTCTTGCAGGCCATCCAGAAGCAATACTTAGTCATGGAGCGCATCCATCGACTGTGGCAAAAGGCAAACAACACTGCCAGCCAAGTCCAAAGCCTTCAGACCGAGCTCGGCCGAGCAAAGTCCTCTCTTCAAATTGCTAACGCTGACAACACCAAGTTGCTCGGCCAGCTTGGCGACGCCGAGAAAAAGCGGGATGAGCTCCAGGCCAAGCTAAACGCACTCAAAGAGTCAAGGGAGAAGGAGTGCGAAGACGCCAACAACGCTGGCTTTAAGGAGGCAGAGGACAGCTATAAGAAGCAGGTCTTCACCACCCAAGACATCTATTTTAAAGCGGGTTGGAAGTCTACCTGTGAACAGCTCGGTCAAGGTCTTGATACCGACGTGTTTGCCTCTCCGCCAGCTGTCTTCCTGCCGACCTATCTCGTGCCATATGCCAATGACGTCTTCAGCGCGTTGAATGCTGAGGCTAAGGAAGGACTTGAAGGAGCAGCCGAGGCAGATGCTGAGGGAGAGGAACGCCAAGAGCAGGAGCAGCCCGACCAAACTGCGACCGGCGTCCGAGATCAAAGCCCACCTATCAACTTGGAGGAAGCTAGCGACGACGAATTCACTAACCTTTCCCCCCTAGTGTAGTTTTCTTAGCTTTTGTCTTTTTGCTCTGCAAATGTAACAGGGCTGTCTGCCCCGCTTCTTGTACATATTTTTATAATTAATGAAAAAGCTCAATTTGCTTGAAGTGTTGGCACGATCTTAAAGCTGAGTAATGTTAACCAGACAAAACACTTCGGCAACATTAACCATCTCGCTTAACTTGACTAACTGGCAAAGGCATCTCGGTTGCAGGCATATAGTTGAATAAATCACCAACTATTTCACCCGTAACAATACATCTCGGTTATCATAGTCAACCGAGATGAATCATCTCGGTAGTAGATATAAAGCTTAGCGCGTCAATTATTTCAGCCGGAGTGAATCATCTCGGTTGAGAATACCCAAGTTGAGTAAAACATCAACGCTGTCAACCGGAGTAAATTATCTTGGTTGAGAATACCAAAGTTGAGCAAAACATCAACTCTTTCAACCGGAGTAAATCATCTCAGTTGAGAATACCCAAGTTGAGCAAAACATCAACGCTGTCAACCGGAGTAAATCATCTTGGTTGAGAACACCAAAGTTGAGTAAAACATCAACTCTTTCAACTGGAGTAAATCATCTCGATTAAGAATACCGAAGTTGAGCAAAACATCAACTCTTTCTACCGGAATAAATCATCTCGGTTAGAAATCTCAAGACTTAAAGCAACATTAAAAATGCTAAGACAAAGATGAGTCACTTCTATATATTGACAAAAATGAATATTACATGAAGTGTAAGGCAAAAAATTCCTTTGCACAAAAAAAGAAAGCTAAAGCTAGAAATAATACAGCTTGAGGTTGGCCGAATTCCATGGCCGGGGTATTCCTCTACTATCCAAGTCCTCCAGGTGATATTTCCCCTTGCACGCCAGACCGGTTATCTTGTAGGGTCCTTTCCAATTTGCCCCTAGCTTGTCTTCACCTGGCACCAGGGTATTGCCCATGACTTTTCTCAAGACCCAATCACCTACTTTGAACGGTCTGGAGTGCGCCGTTTTGTTGTATTTCCTTGAGAGCTCTTGTTAGTAGGCAGCCACATGGATGAGAGCCTTTTCCCGACGCTCCAAGATCTAGTTCAAGGGCAATGGCTTCGGCATTCAGCTCGGGTTCAAAGCTTTCACGTCTGAGGGTAGGCATGCCGACTTCCAAAGGTATGACTGCCTCCATGCCATAAGCCAAAGCAAATGGAGTTTCCCCGGTAGACCGTCGCGGGGTTGTTCGGTATGCCCAAAGGACGCTAGGGAGTTCCTCAGCCCACTTTCCCTTGGCCTTCTCCAGCTGTTTCTTCAACCCATCAAGTATGATCTTGTTTGACGCCTCGGCTTGGCCATTGGACTGTGGGTAGGCCGGAGTAGAGTTGTAGAATTCAATCTTTAAATCTTCACAAAACCCTCTGAATAGGCGACCGTCAAACTGGGTGCCGTTATCAGAGATCAGTATTTTGGGGACGCCAAACCGCGTGACCACGTTCTTCCAGACAAACCGCTTCACGTCTTTCTCCTTGATTGTTGCCAAAGGCTCCGCTTCAACTCATTTAGTGAAGTAGTCTGTGGCCGCGATGAAGAACTTCCGGTTGTCCGGTGCTTTTGGGAGCAGCCCCACTATATCTAGCCCCCACATCGCAAAGGGCCAAGGGCTGGTGAGAGGAAGAAGTTCCCCAAACTGGGTACCGTTATCAGAGATCAGTATTTTGGGGATGCCAAACCGCGTGACCACGTTCTGCCAGACAAACCGCTTCACGTCTTTCTCCTTGAATGTTGCCAAAGGCTCCGCTTCAACTCATTTAGTGAAGTAGTCTGTGGCCGCGATGAAGAACTTCCGGTTGTCCGGTGCTTTTGGGAGCAGCCCCACTATATCTAGCCCCCACATCGCAAAGGGCCAAGGGCTGGTGAGAGGAAGAAGTTCCCTGGCTGGCTGGTGGATCTGGTGGGCAAACTTCTGGCATTTCTAACATTTACGAACATATTTCTGGGCGTCGGCTTACATGCACGGCCACCAGTAGCCTTGCGAAATAGCTCGGTGGGCCAAGGACCTGCCCCCTATATGACTGCCACAGATGCCTTCGTGAATTTCGTAAATGAAGGCTTCCACGCTGCTCGGGTGCACACATTTTAGGTAGGGATCGGTGAAAGATTTCTTGTATAAAGCGCCTAAGGGAGAGAGCCAAAACCGCTCGGACTTCACCCGTACTTTATGCGCTTCCTTCTTGTTGGCTGGAAGGGTCCGTTCTCTGAGAAAGAGGATTATAAGGTTCATCCATGAAGGACCTAGCTCGGCGCAGAATACGTTTGTCTGCCCGGTTTCCTCAATACTGGGCCTCGGAAGGAATTCAATCAAAAGAGGGTTGGGAGATGTGCTATCGACCATAGAAGCAAGGCCGGCCAACTCATCTGCTCGGTCGTTTTCTTCTCGACCAATCTGTTAGACCCTGATCGCCTAAAATCACTTGATGTGGTCTCTGACCAAAGCTTGGTACTTTATCATTCTGTCATCATTTGCCTCGTAAACCGCAGAAACTTGGTTAACCACAAGCTGAGAATCACTGTAAACCATTAGCTCGGATGCTTGCATCTGAAGTGCCCTCTTTAGACCGGCCAATAGCGCCTCGTACTTGGCCTCATTGTTGGATGCTGGGAAGCCAAGGGTGATAGAATGTCCAATAGTCAGTCCGTCTGGCGATATCAGAACTATACCCAGCCTGGCACCGTGACAGTTCGAGGCTCCATCAACAAAAAGTTTCTACATTTCGCCGACAAAGAGCTTCCAACATTCTGAGGAGTCCTGAGAAGCTTGAAGGTTGATGGGATCACGGTTGCTCAGCTGCTCGACTTCCGGTCCCGTGCTAAGCGGTTCCACTTCAACCCCCCTTGGTGATTCGGCGCCGGACTCAGCAAGTTGATCCATAATGCCTAAGTCTGTCGGTGAATCGCCAGGTTGTGGTATCATGCCGACCGCAGGCTCTATACTAAGCGATTCCATTTATTCCCTCCTTGGTGATGTGGTGTCGGACAAAGCGGGTTGGGTAGCGATACCCAACTCCGTCATCGCATCACCGGGCTTTGGTATCGTAGTAACTGAAAGTGCTTCGGCGGGGCGCTCAAGTCCCGCGTCGCCAATGCCATCGAGCTGTGGTATTTCAGTCGAGCTTACATTTACCTCTTCATCTACCACGACAATATCGACCGGGCATACCGAATGAGTTCCAGGTGAGAATTCAGCAACGAAGTCGGCCAAAGTCTGGGCTTTAATGGCAATGCGCTGCTGGAACTTCACATCGAACTGTCCCAATTTGACCTCCCACTTAAGAATCCGACCGGAGAAATCTGCCCGTTCGAACAGAGCTTTAAGAGGGAACTCGGTCAAGACGATGATGGAATGGGCATGGAAATAGTATGCCAACTTCCTTGAAGCCATCATCAAAGCTAACGCAAGTTTTTCCAGCGGCAAGTACCTCGACTCTGCTGGTAGCAAGGTTTTGCTGACGTAGAAGATGGGTAGGTGTTTGATTCCTTCCGACCGGACAAGCACTACACTGACTGTGTGCTGCGATACGGCCAGATAAAGGTAGAGTTCTTCTCTGGGCTCCGGTGTGACCAACAACGGCGCTAAAGACAAATACTCCTTGAGCTTGGCCAAAGCCCGGTCATACTCTTCATGCCATGAGAACTTGGATTTCAAGGCTTGAAGAAAATGGTGGCAGCGATCTGATGACCGGCTTATAAATCGGTTAAGCGCGGCGGCCATTTCGGCCAGATGCTACACATCCTTAGCCGAGCTGGGCTGTTTTAACTCTTGCACAGCTCGGATTTGTGTAGGATTTGCTTCGATACCTCGGTTCGTGACTAGGAAACCCAAAAAAAATTCGGATCCCACGCCGAAGGCACACTTAGACGCATTCAGGCGTAGCTTGTGCTTTTTGAGAATGGCGAACATCTCGACCAAATCGGACAAATGGTCTGCTTGATGCCGGCTCTTAACCACCATATCATCAATATAAGCCTCCATTGTCCGGCCTAGCAGAGGAGCGAACATCTTGGTTACCATCCTTTGAAAAGTTGCCCCGGAGTTCTTCAAACCAAAAGGCATGACTCGGTAGCAGAAGAGTCCCTTTGGTGTAGTAAACGATGTGATCTCTTGGTCGGGCCCATGCATGGCAATCTGATGGTAGCCGTGGTAGGTGTCCAAGAAACTGAGCTTGTTATGTCCAGTCGTTAAGTCCACAAGCTGGTCTATTCTAGGCAGAGAGAAGCTGTCTTTTGGACAAGCTCGGGTGACAATCTTGTAGTCAACGCAAACTCGCCACGTCCCATTCTTCTTGGGCACCACGACCGTGTTTGAAATCCACCGAGGGTAGTGCACTTCCTAAATTGCTCGTGCCTCAAGCAAGTTCTTCACTTCCTCCGCAACTACCTCAGCGTGATGCAGCGCCGATCTCCTTGTGCGCTGAATGACCGGCTTTGCGCCGGGGAAGACATTGAGATGATGGCATATAAAACTCGGATCGAGACCGGGCATGTCGTAAGGTGACCATGCGAAGACTTCGATGTTGGCCATCAAAAATTCAACCATGTCGGTCCTTTCTTGGGTTGTAAGGCTTGAGCCGAGCAAGAAGAACTTGTCCGGATGCTTTGTACCAATGCGCACTTCCACCAATTCCTTGACAGCTTTGCCCTTGACCTTGGTGCCCACATCGTCAAGGACTCTCCGGTCTTCCGGTCCCTCAATCATTTGAACGAATCCTTTGGCGGCTCGGCTCCCGTTGACCGCCACGAAGCATTGCTTCGACATGACTTGATCGCCCCAAATCTCCTCGATTGCCCCCATAACCGAGGGAAATCTCATCACCTGATGATAGGTCGACGCTACGGCTTGCATAGCGTGAAGCCATCCCCTTCCAATGATCAAATTATAGGTGGATGGCACCTGCAGCACCCAGAACTCCACTTGTTTGACCACGGATCCTGCTTTGGCCGGCAAGATAATCTTTCCCAAAGGCCACTCCGGTTGTGAGTTGAAACCAACCAGTGGCGAAGTTGTCGGGGCCAAATCTGTATCCCGGAGCTTGAGCTGTTTGAAAGCGTCGTAGTACATAATCTCGACCGAGCTTCCCTGATCAATCAAGATCCGTTTGACATCAAATTCTTTGACGGTAACCACTAGGTCATCGTTGTGCGGCGTCTGAATGCGCTCTAGGTCCCTTGAGGAGAAACTGATCACGTCTTTCTCTTCGGTCTTCCCCCTTTTGATCGCAGGCTGAACCGACAAAACTTCCCTCATGTGTTCTGCCTTCTTGATCATACCTCGGAGCTCGCATACACGCGCCGGTTCCACTATGCCGTGGATGACATTAACAACCCCTTGTGGAGGCGCATCTCGGTCATCCGGTCCCCGCGGGTCAGCCGGAGCTTGATTGGCCTTCACAACCCCCTCAATGTAAAGGTCCAGGTGTCCGGCTGCGACTAGCTCTTCCAAGTGTTGCCTCAAAGGCAAACAGTCCTCTGACCAGTGGCCTCGTTCTCGATAAAACGTGCAATGGTACCTCGGATTAAAGCTCTTCTGTCCGTCGCCTAACTTAGCAGGAAACTAGACATACTCCTCGTCGCGGATTTCACTAAGTATGCGATAGATTGGAATCTTAAAGACTGTGGTGATGCCTGTCCTTGCTTTCAACCTTTTGTTTGCATCGGCTACGTCATCCCGGGGGTAGTCATCCTGGTCATTCCGATGTCCCCTACCCCGATTTTTGCGATTAGTGCCACGGTTCGATTCCTCAGCACGGTCGCTGGATCAGTCGGACTCCTGCCTGACCGCGTGCACTTTGCCAGCTGACCTCTTGTCCGCTACTACCGGGGTTATTTTCGCGCTAGATGCCGACACATCATCCTCCACACGGATGTGCTCATTGATGCGCTGCATTAGCTGGCCCATGGATGTTGGCTGGTGCATGGTAAGCGAGTCCCGCAGTCTATGTCCGACCGGGAGACCTCGCTTGCATTGTGTGATTGCGAGGTTGACCGGGCAATCCAAAATCTCGTTGAAGGTCTCCCAATATCTGGAGTTGTATGCCTTCAATGTGTCACTCGGTTCCATTTTGACACTCAGTAGGTGGTCAACTTCCTCGGCCAACTGATGCCACCTTTCTATACTCCTC